GCAAGAGTGACCTTTGCGAGACTGACACTCACGTGGTACAGTACAGTACATACAAGAGACAAAGACCACCCGTGTAGCCTGCAACAGGCTTAGGGCAAGTGCTGTTAGCGAGAACCTGTTAAGGAGAGCACGGTACACCTGTGAGGGGGGGGCAGAATCACAACCGGCCGCCTTTGTCTCCCCAGTGCTGATATTTACACACCACACCGGTTACTCATTTAAGGCCGAGATGCCGTTAGGGCAGGCCCCATAACCGGTTCAGAAAATCTTCATCGATGTTGGTTGTGAATGGTAGAATCGAATTCGTTACACAGTGCAGTGCGAACCACTGCGCCACCACTCCCCCCCCCCCCCCTCTCAACACGCAGTACACAACGCTGTGGACACAGACCAACGTTGCCACGAGTGAGTGGGGGATTACGGAGCACCGCGTGAACCCGAGTACAAGACGTACAAAGAGGAACAGAGAACACCGCTGCACACACACAGCTGTAGGCACACACACACGCGACGATAGACACGTTAGTGAGCACATACACATTTAAGGCTGAGTCGACCTAAGGGAGGCCCAGGATCGGTTCATATAGTCGCCACTGTTATGAGCAGAACACGATTATCAGGCCGTCGAGTTCGTAGCGCGGTGCGTTAACCACTGCGCCACCGCTCCCTACAAAGACAAAGATCCCTCGTATAGCCATAACAGACTTTTGGGGCAAGTGCTGTTACCGAGCACCTATTAAGGCCGGCACGGCACACGAGGGGTGGTTTGTCCAGCACTAAGCCAGGCCGCCTTTGTCTCCCAATTTCGCATCAGTTATCGATTTAAAACTGAACCGACCTAGGTGGAGGGCCCAAGACCGGTTTAGATATCGCTCGCCACTGACGTTAGCCACGAGGGGCAATCAAACCCAGAACGCAGGGTGAGGGGGGAGTTCCTAGCGCAGTGCGCTAACCACAGCGCCACCACTCCACCCCATTAAAGGGCCCCAACCAAGGGCGGGCTTGAGGTTCGCGGTTGGTTTCCAGCGGCCGCTCTGGTTAATACTGCGGCCATGACAACCCAAAAAATATAGATCCCGTGACGTCAGTGGCAAAAGTGGCCCACGGTCCAAATTTAAATATTTACCCGCAAATGACTCAATTGGGATGTAAAGTGCTGAGCAATCATCGTCCCCCTACCGCTACGAAGTTGGTGGGTACCCTCCTGAAAAAAAACCCAGTCATGTGAACTCAGTGATGCCCTCCTGGGGGTAAATAAGCATAATTCATATACAAATATATACCCAAAAAGATACAGACACAACACCACATACACACAGATGTACACACACGCATAATAACGCTGTAGTCAACTTTTATGCAGCTGCAGTCATACAAACAGCACCCCCTACAAGCTGAAATTTACCAACACCGAAGACTCAAACCACGACAAATGATATAAAAGCTTAAATTCTAAGATTAAAATGTAATCAGAATTTGACGCCACAGCAAAAAATATACCACAAAACTCCGAGACAAGACACCCCAGACATACAAAAGTCAAAGATCCCCCGTGTAGCCTTCACATACTTTTAGGGCAAGTGCTGTTCGCGAGCACATATGATGGTCGGTACTGGGACAAGAGGGGGGAGGGTGGCCAGCACCACGCCCGGCCTAGTGGCGATGTTTCTACACCGCACCGGCTACTCATTTGAGGCTGAGTCGACCTAGGGGAGGCCCAGGACCTGTTCAGATAATCGTCACCGGTGTTGGCCGTGAGCGGGAATCGAACTCGGTTCGCCGGGTCCGTAGCTACGCAGCTCACGAACCTCTCCCCACACAAACACACAGACGTACACAGATACGCAGACACACGTATGTACACATACAACTAACACACACAAAGCTATTCCCCAGTCTGTATGCATGGTAGACACGTACACAGACAAAGGTCCCCCGTGTAGCCTACACATACTGCCGGGGCAAGTGCTGTTAGAGAGCACCTATGAAGGTCGGCACAGCGCACAAGGAGGTGGTGAGGCTCGGCTCACGCCCGGCCGCCTTTGTCTCCCCCGGTTGTGATGTTTTCACAGCGCACCAGTTACACAATTAAGGTCGAGTCGACCTAGAGAGGTTCCAGGACACGCTCGGATGTCACTCGCCGCTGATGTCAGACACGACCGAAGTTCCAACTCGAGTCGCAGTGCAGCGCGCTAACCACTGTGCCACCGCTCCCCACGTTATAGACACAGACACAGACGCCCCGTATAGTCTTGGGAGACTTTTGGGGCAAGTGCTGCTAGCGAGCACCTATTAACACCGGTACGGTAGACACGCGAATATATAAAACCAGCTTTGGTGACGAACTCACCCTTCAAGGCTTCGGGGTGGCGATGTTGGTCGGACGGATGATGATGTTGTTGGTTTGAAGAAGATGATGATGATGTGTAGTCGGATGGTGGTGACGATGATGTTTGCGGTAGGACGGTCGAGATGGTTATGATGGTTGGTAGTGATGATGTTGTTCGGATGGTGGTGTTGGTGGTGTTCGGTTGGTTGTATGATGGTGATGATGATGAGTCAGTCTGTATCCGAGCTCCACAGTAAACCCTTTCCGCCTTTGTCTCTCCTCCCCCGCTCGGCGTGTCTCACGTTTGAATGGCTCTGTGGGTTGGAGTCCTCAGCCAAAGGGAGGGGGGAGGGGGAAGTGAGGGGCGGGGGGGAAGTGAGGGGCGGGGCAGAGCGGGGGGGAACCGGGAATGAGGGGGCGGGGGTGAAGGAGAACGCCGTGACGTCACAGGTCTCAAGGGACCCTGCGTCATCAGGTGACGTCACTCGCTGGGAGCCTTGCCAGATGAGAGGTTTTTTTACCTTCAAAAGTGCACATCGGCGGTGTTAGATCAAAGGTTTTTTTTTGTCAAACCTTCACGTATTACATCCAGAATTAAAATGCAGCATACATTCACGGACCGCTTACGCTAATCCACTGCTGGATGAGGGCAGCCTCCCCACGTCAGAGGGGAGTTGGTTGACCACCCTTCAGGGTTGATTTTGGCCGTGAACGACTAAATTATTGATTTTGTTGCACTGTCTCACAAGGCGCAATGCACCTCGTATCTCCGTGTCTAAAGGGGAGAGAGGGAAAGAAACCCCCTCCTCCCCCCCTCTCACCTGGCAAGGTGTCCCTTTCATATATATAGGGGTCGTCCATAAATGACGTCACGCAATTTTGGACGATTTTTGACCCCCCCCTCCCTCGTCACGCGGCGTTACAAAAAGTCAGACCCCCCCCCCTCAAATATGACGTCACAAAGCTCTGCCCCCACCTCCCCCAAAACCATATTTCCATTTTGGAAAAAAAACATGTTTCAAATCGCTTTAAACTATTGTCATTGTAGTGCGTATTTAATGTGGCAATGCACTGATGTTGTAGGAGAAAACATTTATTAAAAAGTCTATTTAATCATGTAGAACGTTTTGTCTATATAATTTAAAGTTGCGCATTTTGATGTGACGTCACATTTCTCACCCCCCCCCCATCACACATCGTCACAAATGTCTAACCCCCCCCCCAGGTGCGTGACGTCATTTATGGACCGTCCCATAGATCAAAATATGTATTGGCACCGAAGGAATCTGATGAGCTACAAAGCTATATTCTTGGTTCTTTCGGTAAAGTCACGTAGAAGGGAAACAATAAAATAATAAAAATCCACAGCAATACATTTTGTGTTTTTCACACCTGATGATGATTGCTTGTGTTGCAGTCGAAACGTTGTGAGAATTTTATTGTTTTATATTTTTATTATTTTATTGTTTCCCTTCTACGTGGCTTTACCGAAAGACCCAATAATATGAATCCCTGCAGTCACTAAAGCTTTAAATCAAAAGCTACAAAGCTGTTTCACAGATGTCCAATCGGGGCGTGCGACAAATCGTTACAAAAAAACAGTGCAACGAAGCACGAAAGGAAGTGTAAAGTATTGGGAAGGTAAACAAAATAACTTATACGAATACAACTAAACAAATGTGTTTTTTGTATCATACCAGGTAAAGCCCAATGAAGTATTAACTGATTTTATAGAGGCCATCGCCTCCTCCCAGTTCTGTCGAATATCCTCTAATCTGAAATGTTTATTTATTTAAAGGGCCATTTATATGAAGGGCCATTGGCCGAAACGTCGCCAATTATATATATTGTTATTGTATCAGGCCACGCGGTGTTATTGATTGATGTGTTGAGTTTTGTGTTTACTTATCAAGACGTAACACCTTCTGAGCTGACAATGCTTTTCCCACTAAGAGACAAACCAAATACTCATTCAATTCGTCTCCTTCACTGATCTATCCCTCCACATACAAAACAAAGAACAGGCACTTCTCTACTTACGAACGAGTTAGGTTCCAGATGACTGTTCGTTAAGTCCAACTTTACTCCTGTCGATTCCAAACACGTATGGCATGTAAACACGGGGAATGGCTTTTAAAGTTGTATAATCTCATGTAGATGCCACTGGTTCTTCATGTTCTGCAGATGTAGATGTCACTGGTTCTTCACGTTCTGCAGATGTAGATGCCACCACCTCCATCTATTGCGCGGCGATTGAACTTTCGACTCTCGGTCTGAACAGGGAACTGGACATGCGGACCTGGTTCGTTCGTATCTGTGAAAGTTCGTAAGTCGAGTGTTCGTAAGTAGAGGATTTCCCGGTATGGTTTTAAACACATTGCTTTGTTCCTACAAAGAGGTATGGCTGAAGGATGTGTAAATACTCTCTACACGGAGAGACATATATAGGATAAATATGATACAGATAGATAATGAAAATTATTATTAGATATTTTCAACACGACCAGAATTATTATTTAATATTACCGTATTCTGTTCAGTCTAGAGGTAAAAAACCTCTGCCCTATCCCCAGCTGGAGCAGGAGCGCTCTCCACCCCCACCAGATGCTAGATTTCCGATTACGACCCTCACAAACCCCCATTACATTTCATATCACGCATTAGGCCGAGCACGTGGAGGGTCGCGCGCACGTGGCTCCGGCACGCCCGTAGCGCGTCTGCGCTATCAAATCAAATCCCGCGCACCACAAGGCCCCGCTTAAAGCCTCGGCATCGCCTGAGCGCCCTGCGGCCGCAGTCTCCTCGCGGAGCCGCAGAGTCTCGAATCTCCCGGGGGTCACGGAGCCATGGCGACCACGGCAGACAGGGTGACGGAGATGCGCGAACGAGTCCTCCTCAGCGAACACGGCGTGACCAACGTGAGTCTTTTAGTCGAGGATCAACATCGCGGAATGGTGGACGATGTGGTGGTGGTTAGTGGTGGTGATGGTTGTGCTGGACATCCACCACCCTCGTGTACTGTTCAAGTTTCAAGTTTATTTATTTGGTATAGCCCTGTGAGCCATTGGGCTCTTGAATCGGGTGCAACCGCAACAAACAAAAAACAAAAACATGAACAAAAAACATCTTAAAGTGAATATGTGACTAAGTGCAAACAGAAAATCCAAGAAAAGACAGCAAAATATGTGCCAGCCATCATAGGTGCTCGCTAACACCACTTGCCCAAACATTATGTGAAGGCTTTACAGAGCTATCTCTGTGTTAGTTTAGGTGGTGTACGTGATGGTGGTGAATGAAGTGGTGGTCATGATGATGTAGGAGGTGATGGTGGATGTTGGTGATGGTGGTGGATGTGGGTGATGGTGTGCGTGGTTGGGTAGTGGAAGATGTGGTGCCGTGGTGGTGATGGTGTAGATGGTATTAGTAATGGGGAGGTGGACGATGGTGGTGCATTTTTGTTGTTGTTGTTGGAGGTGGTGGTGGAAGAGGTGAAAGATGTGGTGGAGGTAATGGTGGAAGTGCAGGTTTCTGGTTGGGGCCATTGGGAATGAGATCCCTTGTGATTATCCCCGATTATCTCTTGTGTGTCTATGCTATCTCGCGCTTTATCTCAATTTATCTTTAAATTGTCGTCTCGCACTGATGCTTTCCCGCACATCCGATTAGCAGGGTTGGCTACGTACGGCGTGAAAGAAGTTCAACATACAGTGAATACATGCTGGTAGCCGCAGTCAATGCTGACTGGACTTTGGAATCTGGGATGATGTGCGGTATGTGGGTGGTGATTGATGTCTGGAGGCGCGACCCCCTGCCTTGATCCTCCTCTGTCTTGATCCTCCTCTGTCTTTCATAAAGATCATGAGCCATGGTCTATCCACTGCTTGAAGAAGGCCTCCCCCACCCTATTGCAATCCCGCACCATCCAGCGATGGCACGATCCGTCTCGCACCCACACACACAACGTGAGCTGAGCTCTCATCACTCCATCTGTAAATGTAAATAAATCCTGGCAGGAATTGTTTTCATATAATATTTTGAAGATTTTTAGAAAGTGGTAAAGTTAACAAATTATTTGGTGATATTGCATCGGCAGTGGTGCACAGGCACATAACAAAAACATGAATGTGCTGTGAACGACCATTGCCCACAACGTCCCCAATAAGGCCACAGTGTTATTTACGAATGTGTTGAGGTTTTATTTGAAATAAAATATTTGGTGACCAATGTTCATGCTAGTTAGTACTTGAAAATTAGTTAGTACTAATTGCTAGTTAGTATTTCAAAATCCTGATCTTGGCTTAGCTTTGTTACTCCTTAAAGTTAGGTCCACAGCTGAGTGATCCATTACCGAAAACACATTGTCCTGCGGAGGGAGCTGGTAGGAACGTTGGGTTGCTCGGTCAATGGCCAGGGTCAACGGCGGCGTGGTGTATTCCGCAAATATGCCCGACTGTGAGGGCGGGCACAAGCCGGCGTGAGTAGGTTAAACGTTGAGTTTTATAAGGGCACCACGGGGTGACCAGCCCCTCCCCACCCAGCCCCTCCCCACCCAGCCCCTCTCTTCCCACCCAGCCCCTCCCTGCACGACGGACGGACACAATAATCCCCTGTGGGCTGGTGTAACCTGGCGGTTCCTACCAGTATAAATCGTTTAGCCTTAATCACTTGCAACTGCGTTGTCTGCATCTGAACGAATAGTTGCGCAACAAGGAAATAAAAATTACATTCAGAATTGTAACAACATATCATAGTTGGCAAATGACTAACACGCGATGAAATGTTGCTGAAAATCAGATAGACTTCAAAGTCGAGCCTTTCTGCTGTGATAACCATCTGGTTGTCTAACTGCTCCCAACTGGTTTCAGACAGCCACGTATAAGCGATTCAGTTTGGATGTAACCAACTTATGCAATTAAACTCTCAACCCGTAGACCCTTGAACCCAGTCCAAAAACGGTGACCTTGCTCCGCTGACCCTGCTCTGCCGACTCGTCGTCTTGACCCCTTGGCGACCTCTGAACCACTGCAGGTTCATTCGACGGACTTCCCCGGCAACTACGCGGGCTACGATGACACGTGGAACCAGGAGAAGTTCGAACAGGTGAGTGAAGAGTACTTTGTCGATTTGTAGCCCTGGCTTGGCAGGGTATGGCATTAAAAGCGAGTGGAATGATTTTCACGTTTTCCCATCTATACAGGATTTGAGTGATACCCACTCTGCCTTACACGATTGGGATATCTTTTGATTCTGTGGGTTTCCTCCCTCTTATATGCTCGACAATGGAGTTGTCCAAGCATCAAAATATAGGACCACAGAGTTTGGGCAACCGTTGGCACCAGTTCTGGCTGCCTTACAAATTCTCGAGAATTCTGAGATGCATTTTGCATGGATGGCACTATCAAAAAATAAAACACAAGTTACTTTAATACAAACCTACCACACATCAGTTTAGATCTTAAGTTTTCGTGACTGCAATGTTCCATACTCTTTAGTTCTTTCGGTAAAGTCACGTAGGTATAAAATAAAATAAAAAATAATCAAAAATAAAATAAATCACGACGTTTCGGAAGCAACACAAGCTTCCGTCATCAGGTGGGACAACCACAGCAAGAAACAAATTACTGTAGTGGGCAAGAGTCGCTCGTAACAAGATATTATATAAGGCAAGAACACACATCACCATAATTTATTGATATCGCATCTCAGATCCAGCTGAAATTAAGCTTTGTTTACATCCATAATCATCTTCCAAAAACATCTGGCCAGTGTGGAAGAGTAGGCCAAAATGTCCTGTAGAGGGGACTCTAGAGCTCCCTCCAACTGCTCGCAACTGGTTTTAGACAGCCACATATAAGCGATTCAGTTTTGCATGCGACCAACTTACCAAATTAAATTCTCAGCTGTAGCCCCTAGAGCTCCCTCTAGTCACTCTAGTGGGAGGCTCCTTCCGCTAGCAGTGGGGCGAGCGAGCCGTTGCAGGGCCGCGCCGCGCCGTACATCCCTGATACAAACCGCTGCGCTGCCGCAGAACTTCCGCATCGACGTGGTGCGCATGGAGGACATGGAGATGGAGTTCGACATGGTCGGGGTCGACGCGGCCATCGCCAACGCCTTCCGCAGGATCCTGCTCGCCGAGGTGCGGCGCACAGACACTCGTCCAGAGAGCAACCGGCGATCTGGGACCCACTTCTGGGGCGCTCCCCGTGAACACAGGCCGCTAGGGAAGAAGGGGGTAGAGAGGGGGGGGGGGGTATCCCCTCTGGCTGTACAAAGTAAAGCCAGTTAAGGCCCACTGAGCTGTATAGCTTGTGTTTCAGAAGCGACCTGGCCATCACAAATGACAGCTCGATCAAGTGGCTTACCGCTTGGAAATTTATAGCTCTGAACGTGTAATGTTGATTCCAAATGTGGAGGGGAAAATCGGAGGACCCAGAAAAAAATCCACTCGACCACAGGGAAAACATGCAAACTTTAAATATACAAGCGTCATGGTCGGGATTGAACCCATGACCTGTATACCAGGCGAGGTAGTTAACATTTTGCTACCATGGCGCCCCAATGGCTGGGACAGGCCCGGTAGTGTAAAAAATGTGGTCGTCCTGGGCCTCGCTTAGGCTCGCTTGGCCTGGTGCGGCGTGTAAAATCATCGCCACTGGGCAGACAAATGCAGCTGGGCGTGGTGCTGGCCACCCAACCCCTCGTGTTCTGTGCTGGCCTTCATAGGTGCTAGCAAACATCTATTGCCCTAACAGTCTGTTCAGGTTATACGGGGGATCTTGGTCTTTTTGTGTGTGTATGTGTGAATGTGTGAATATGTTGCGCAGTGATTAGCGCACTGCACGATGAGCCAGGGATCCGAGTTCGATTTCTCGCTCATGGCCAACACCAGTTTCGATGATCTGAACCAGTCCTGGGCCTTCCCTAGGCGGACTCCACCTCAAATTAGTACCTGGTGCGATGTGTAAGCATCATCACTTGGGAGACAGGCCCTCGTGCGTGCTGCTGGCCACCCACCCCCTCGTGTACCGTGCCGGCCCTCATAGGTGCTCGTTGACAGCACTTGCCCCAAAATATCTGTTTAGGTTATATACGGTGGTGTGAGTGAGCGCGGCTCATTGCCTCTGCGTGCCGCTACAGGTGCCGACGATGGCGGTGGAGAAGGTGTTCATCTACAACAACACGTCCATCATCCAGGACGAGATCCTTGCCCACCGCCTGGGCCTCATCCCCATCCACGCAGACCCCCGGCTCTTTGAGTTCCGCAACCCGGGTAACAAGCGGCAGCAGCAGCAGCAGTAGTCGTAGTAGAGTAGTCGTAGTTTTTGTAATGGTAGTTATAGTAGCAGTAGCAGAAACAACAATAGTAGCAGTGGTAATACTAGCAGTAGTAGCAATAGTAATAGCAGCAGTCGTAGGAGCAGTAGTAATATTAACACCAGTAGTAGCAGCAATGATCATAGTTGTAGTAGCAGTAGTAGCAGCAGTATCAATAGCAAAGGCAGCAGTTCTAGTAATAGCAGTGGTAATCATAGTTATAGTCTTCATAGTAGCAGCAATAGGCATAGTAGCACTAGTAGTTGTATTAACAGGTACCACCGCACCGTGCACACATGGCACAGTCAACTTAATTAGTCGATTAGAGTACATTCTCCAATTTCATTAAATTCAGCGTTTCACTGAATTTGGCGAAAGTGCAACTCGGCAATGTGTAAACGTTGGCTTGGCCGTTACATGATGGGCAACCGTCTGCGCAGGTGACGAGGAGGGTACGGACATCGATACGGTGAAGTTCCAGCTCAAGGTGAAGTGCAGCAGGAACCCCAAGGTTCCCAAAGACTCCTCCGACCCCAATGAGCTCTACATCAACCACAAAGGTGTGGCGGCACCTCCACGGGTGGTGGGGACGGCGGGTGTGTGTGTGTGTGTTATGTGTGGTTGTGTAGAGTGTGTGTGGAGAACAGGTCCTCCACGGAGGTGGTTGGGCGGCTAGGATGGTGAAGAAGTGTGTGCGTGTGTGGGGAGCGGTAGTGCAGCGGTTAGCGCATTGCGCGATGAAACAGCGACCCGAGCTCAATTCCCGCTCACGGTCAACACCAGTGACGATTATCTGAATCGGTCCCGGGCCTCGTCTGTGTGTGTATAGTGCACACGATGTTGCGTTCTGAAGAACTCGTGCTGTGATATCCGTGCCTGTACGACAATCTTTTCCCGTCTGACCCCCCCCGCCCCTCCAACACTCACCCCCACCTCTTCGTCCTCTTCGTCCTCATCTTACGCTGCCCCCGCAGTCTATTCGCGGCACTTGCGCTGGGTGCCGCTGGGAAGCCAGGCGGACGTGTACGCCGAGGGCTCCATCCGGCCCGTGGACGACGACATCCTCATCGCTCTGCTGCGGCCGGGGCACGAGATCGACATCATGGTGCACTGCGTCAAGGGCATCGGTGAGACGAGAGCGCTGCAGCGCGATCAAGACGCACTGTGGCGGAATCGCCGATCATGCAGATATTAGCCAATCGCAAAAAGTAGGCGGTTCAAACCACGCAATACTGGCCAATGGGATCACTTGATCCATGGATCGCTTGGCACTGAAAAACTAATTTAATATTTTTATTTTACCTGGTAAGGCCCACTGAGCTATATAGCTATTACCAGAAGCAACCTGGCCACAAATGATAACTCAACAAAGTGGACATTTCTAACAGAAAAATACTTTCAAACGCATGTTTCTAAATGTGGAGGAGAAAACCGAAGAACCCAGAGAAAAATCCACGTGACCACATGGAGCACATGGAAACTCCAAATATACTGGCATCGGGGTCAGGATTGAACCCACAACCGCCTGTATACCAGGCGAGGTAGATAACATCTTGCCACCATGGAATGGATGCAGTGATTAACCCTCAATTGTTTTGTGATTGGTGAATAAAAAACAGACATTTTAACATTGCAGTCGGATCAACAATGAATTGAATCGATATCATAGACCTCGATTGAGGTTCCACACGACCATACTTGAGCAAAGACGCCGTACAGGCAATGCCTCAGCAATTTTCTTCCATATATCACTGATCAGTTATTTTGCTGACTGCCTGATTTGATCAAATTACAGCATAGGTGGTGATGGTTGTGGCGGTGGTGGATATTCTATGACTCATCTTCTTGGTTCTTTCGGTAAAGTCACGTAGAAGGGAAATAATAAAATAGTAAAAATAAAACATAATAATATACAATTCTCACGACGTTTCGGCCACAACGCAAGCAGCCGTCCTCAGGTGAAGAAACGTCGTGAGAATTGTATTTTATGATGTTTAAATTTTATTATTTTATTATTTCCCTTCTACGTGACTTTACCGAAAGAACCAAGAAAATGAATCCCTGCAGTCACGAAAGCTTTAAATCGAAATTTATTCTATGACTCGTAAAAATGTTTGCGTTAATTCCACAACTAAGATCGGTAAAAAGAGTAAGAACCTACACAGATACCAAATGTACTAAAATATTATTAATGGTGAATTGGGGTGATGCAGGTGAAGAGCCTGACACCAGTAGCATTTTGGACATTGAGTTTAGAGGTGAGGGATGCGGTGAGGTGAGGGATGTGAGAATGCTGTAGAGGAGAAAGTTGCCATAACCTTGAAGGGATGTGAGGTAGGAATGTCTGGGCGAGGGTGTCTGGTGCAGAGGTCGCAAACGGGTTTTGATTCCTTACCCGTACCCGGCCGCACCAGGGTCGCAAACGGGTACCCGTACCCGTACCCGGCTGGGTACGGGTAGCCGGGTATCGGGTAGGGTACAAATATCGGGTACCCGGTTGCAACCTCTGGTCTGGTGGCAGCTGGGGTACGGAAGTGACGGATGCCGAGCTTGCGATTCTTAATCGTGATTTTGAATACCTCTCTGTTGGCGATCTCGCACCGCAGGCCGGGACCACGCCAAGTTCTCCCCCGTGGCCACGGCGAGCTACCGACTTCTGCCGGAGATCCGGCTCTTGGCGCCTGTTGTCGGGGCACTGGCGCAAAAGCTGCAGAGCTGCTTCTCTGAGGGGGTGATTGGCGTGGAGGAGGTGGATGGTACGACGCAGCGAGTCGCCCCCTTTCCCTCGCCCCGTTGTTCCCTGCCCCATGCACCGTCGAGAATACAGCTCGCGGCCAACATTGCTGACGAATATCTCAACCGGTCCCGAGCCTCTCCTAGGTCGGCTCGGCCTTAAGCGATGACCTGGTGGGGTGTCTAAACATTTCCACTGGGGAGGCAAAAGCGGCCGGGCGTGGTGTTGGCCACCCACCCCCTCGTGTGTTGTACCGGCCTTCATGGGTGTTTGCTAACAGCACTTGCCCCAACAGTTCATTGAGGCTATACGGGGGATCTTTGTCTCGTGTGTGTATACGTGCTGCGTGCGCAGGAGAGAAGGTGGCCAAGGTTCTGAATGCCCGGCTTGACACGTGTAGCCGAGAGGTGCTGAGGCATGAGGTGAGAGCGCCACCCCAGCGGGGTCCACCCTTGTGGTCTCCCCTCCCACCACCCCAGCGGTGTCCACCCTTGTGATCTCCCCTCCCACCACCCCAGCGGTGTCCACCCTTGTGATCTCCCCTCCCACCACCCCATGCTGTTCGAGTGGTTGCATTCGATAATCGTTGGCAAGTATTGCCTGAACCGGTGCTGGGTCCTTCACCTCCACTCATCCAACATTGGATCAACAAAAACGCTGTACATGTGCATTTGCTGTTGTATTTGTTGCTGTTTCGTGGCCTTGTTGTCTCTCCGATCATGGGGTTCACCCCGCCTGCAAGCACGCCCTTCACTGGACGGAATCTTTTGGCACAACGTGGAACGCGCACCGTTATAATGCGGAAGGCGCCCGTTATAACACGGTTTCTGAGTGGTCGACGACGAACTACTTTGTTGAGCTGCATGGCTGAGTGGGAGTGATGTGGTACGCGGAATAATACGGTATTGCGGCGGTGTGCCCTCAGTTATTTGTCCCACCATCTTAATGTGCGTGCGTACATCGTATCTCGCCAAATATCCTTACATTATTTATAAGGAAATGTTTTCGCTTGACGCGTTTTTCACTTAACGCGTCGCTTGTGTGTGTCGTGCGCAGGATCTGAAGGATTTGGTGCAGCTGTGCCGCATCAGGAATCATTTCATCTGTGAGTTCCCAGCACCGCAAGACCCTCCCCCGTTATTCTGTCGCTGCGAATTAAACGCTTACAAAGACAAGCGCGTTTCAAAGCATCACAGAATCCATGCGTACGGTGGATTTTTCCGCACTTGGTTTCCGTTCCAAATGCGGCCACGTGGGTTAGGCCACGTGACGGGCAATTCTTCTCTCGAGCTTTCGCCAGAACGCACTCCTTGTGGGCAACTTCATGAGTCGGGAAGTGAGGAATATCTCCTGGCCTCCAGGTATCTGAATCTCCCTGAAGATGCCCTGCAGTCGTGTGTGGCAAAAGCTTGAGAGAAGATATGCTCAACACGCAGCCTAACTCCATAAGGACCACACTTGGATTTTAAGTGGCTGTGGAAAAAACCTCCAGCCAGATAGATTTTGGTCATTGTGACGTAATGCCGCTTGTCGTGGTGCGTGTGTGTCCCCCCCCACTCCACCAACCCCGCAGTCTCGGTGGAGTCGACGGGGGCCCTGCCGCCCAGCGTGCTCGTGTGCGAGGCAATCAAGGTGCTGATGGAGAAGTGTCACAAGTATCTTAACGAGCTCGACTCCAAGGAGGACGACGACGATGATGAGGAGGAGGCGGCGGCGGCGGCAGCTGACAAGATGTGACGTGACGTGGCGTGTCGGGTTCGGAACCGTCATCTGGTTGTTGTCCTACAGGGTGTCAGAGCCATAGCTGCTTCAACTGCTGCTGCTGGAGCAGCATCACCATATTCTCTGAATTATGAGATTCATTGGATTGTAAAGTAACTTTTCTGACACCGAGCACAAGTTTGGGTTTGCGTCTCACTTTCTGAAAAATCTTACAATCCATACGAAACTGGAACCTCTTTTTCCCACCGCATAACCGAACCGCTCCAGGGCCCCTGCCCTGGAGCGGTTCGGGAGGCGCCGATGTTATTTTTCGACCGCGGAAGCTGAGCCGTGCCGCCGACGTCGCTCGCGGTCGTTGCGTGCGTCGTGCGTCGTCATGCGTTCGAGTGTACCGACGCAACGTTTGACGAAAGTGATCAACTCCGCCCCCCCCACGACCCCCGACCCCCTTGCTTGGCCCCGAGCCAGATTCCGATGTCTCGTGACACCGGCGAATCATTGTTTGGTTTTTAGCTCCGCTCAGCCAAATTGCCGGTGGGGGGGTGGGGGGGGAAATACCCGTACAGTGAGGGCCCCCCTCGCTGGCTCAACGCTGCTGGTTCTGCGAGCCCCGAGGCAGCCGTTGGCGAGGGGGACGGGGGGGAGTGCTTCGTAGAGTGATGTTGGTGTGTAGAATTCTTAAACTAAAGGAACATTTTTTTAATTTGACCAGGTAAAGCCCACTGAGCTCCAGATAGCTCTTTTTCAGAAGCGACCTGGCCATAAATAATAGCTCAACGAAGTGGCTTGTCACGTGGAATTATTGTAGCCGCCAAATACTCTAAACTCATGTTTATTCTAAACTTGGAGGGAAAAACCGGAGGACCCGGAGAAAAATCCATGCAACCACGGGGAGAGACATGCAAACTCCAAGTATACAGGTGTCAGGTTCGGGATCATACCCACGGCCTTCTGCATACCAGGCAAGGTAGTTAACATCTCACCACCGTGGCACCCATTCATCTCCTACGCTCGCGATTCTGTGACTCGCAGTGCTGGATCAAGATTACATAATTTTGTTTTTCTCTTTTGTGATTAAAGCTACCCGTCGTGGCTGTAGGTGTCCCATGAACCATCATTTTCATAAATGTTAAACAGTGTATTCTTAACACACGCGATTCGATGTGTTATGAATTTAAGAATTGATTGTAATTGTTTTTCTTCTATTTTGCCAGCTAGTAATGTTTGTCTACCTTCATCCTAACTGCTCATTTCAGGGAGTTGTTAAAATTCTCAATGGTTAAGTTCAGTTCGACTGCCGCGTAGACGGCACTATGTCACCGTCAACATTATTGTCTTAATTTATATTGTCATAACAGGCACGCAAAGTTGCTTTGTTCATTTGGACCTTTATCGTTCCACCCTTTTTGAAACGAATTGTCCAACACTGTTCCAACTGAGAATAATAAATACGAAAAGTCTGGCAATGTTTCGTTTAACATTGATTTTGCTTCATTATTTTTGCTTAAACACCTCAGGTTGATACGAAACCGGATATGAATGTGAATGACGGATGCCAATGAACTCAACGTTGGGGGGGACATTGAAACGCCGTAAATATCACAATAGCCATATGCTGTCTCCACAACATCCTTTATGGGTCTCCTTGGACACTCCACGTGGGTCCCCTTGGCCACTACACGTGTATCCCCTTGACCACTCCACGTGGGCCCCCTTGCCCACTCCACATGAGGTCCCCTTTGGCCGCTTCACATTAACCCCAAAGTGAGATTTTGCTCATATCTCAAACGAGCATTCAGACGGTGCGCTTCTGTTTACATAACTGAGCCAGTTTATATAAATTGCACATTCATGTGGTGGGGGTGAGTAAATCTAATGGACAACCACTAATGACTTCTCCCACAAAGTGGTAACTATTTTATCGCTCCCCGAGGGAGGAATGATGGGCTGAGTCAACCCCCCCTCGCCCAACCAGGATTTTAACTGGCAAGCTTCCAATTAAGGGCCGCGTTTCGCCGGCCACTGCGCCACCAACTTGAATCAACTACCGTATATTGCAAGACGCAACATTAATACGGTACATTAATTTCGTACAATAGTGTCTGTAATGATCAAACCCGCACGCTGTAGAAAGTTCGGAAGGTCACGTGATAAAAACAACCTATCGGGCCTTTTACGAATCGAAAATAATCGACTGCCATACCCCCATCTACCTTGATGAATGTATGTTGAACTTCTTTCACGCTGTACGTAGCCAACCGTGCTCATCGGAGGCGCGGAATGAACTTCATGGAATTCAACTTACATTAAATCAGGCTGGCTGTCGATACAGAACTCGCTGGATTCATCACGAGTCACTCGCTCACCATCATTGGTCAGTCGCCTCCTTGTCACTCTTATACCGCTGCCACAATGATTGATGACGCTTCCGTGGTGAACACCCATTGATTCATCCACCCAGGTTGAGGGATTCTACATTATAGACTGCCAGTACACTCACTCAGGTTAAGGACCAGGCCAAGGTCTACATTATAGACTGCCAGTACACTTACCAAACTTAATAACCAATCTACAGTCTACATTACAGACTGTCAGTACACTCACCCACCTTAATAACCAGGCTACAGTCTACATTATAGACTGCCAGTACACTCACCCAGCTTAATAACCAGGCTACAGTCTACATTATAGACTGCCAGTACGCTCAATCAGCTTAATAACCAGGCTACAGTCTACATTATAGACTGTCAGTACACTCACTCAGCTTAATAACCAGCCTACAGTCTACATTATAGACTGCCAGTACACTCACCCAGCTTAATAACCAGGATACAGTCTACATTATAGACTACCAGTACACTCACCCAGATTAATAACCAGGCTACAGTCTACATTATAGACTGCCAGTACACTCACCAAACTTAATAACCAGGCTACAGTCCACATTATAGACTGTCAGTACACTCACCCAGCTTAATAACCAGGCTACAGTCTACATTATAGACTGCCAGTACACTCACCCAGCTTAATAACCAGGCTACAGTCTACATCACAGACTGCCAGTACACTCACTCAGCTTAATAACCAGGCTACAGTCTACATTATAGACTGCCAGTACACTCACTCAGCTTAATAACCAGCTACAGTCTACATTATAGACTGTCAGTACACTCACTCAGCTTAATAACCAGCCTACAGTCTACATTATAGACTGTCAGTACACTCACCCAGATTAATAACCAGGCTACAGTCTACATTATAGACTGCCAGTACACTCACCAAACTCAATAACCAGGCTACAGTCTACATTATAGACTGTCAGCACACTCACCCAGCTTAATAACCAGGCTACAGTCTACATTATAGACTGCCAGTACACTCACCCAGCTTAATAACCAGGCTACAGTCTACATCATAGACTGCCAGTACGCTCACTCAGCTTAATAACCAGCTACAGTCTACATTATAGACTGCCAGTACACTCCGATTAAGAACTAGGCTACAGTCTACATTCATGTTTTTTTTACTTTGATTAACTTTATTCCATAAAGAAGGTAAACGAATCGCTTAAAAAAATATACAAGTAAAACTAAACTTTAAAGAAAAATCTTACCCAGATAAAGCCCACTGAGGTATTAATGTATACTGGCAGGAACCTCCTGATTACACCAGCCCACAGGGGATTATTGTGTCCGTCGTGCAGGGAGGGGCTGGGTGGGGAGGGTGGGGAGGGGCTGGGTGGTTAGGGTGGGGCTGGGTGGTTAGGGTGGGGAGGGTCTGGGTGGGGAGGGTGGGGCTGGGTGGTTAGGGTGGGGCTGGGTGGGGAGGCGACGGTGGGGAGGGGCTGGGTGGGGAGGGGCTGGGTGGGGAGGGTGGGGAGGGTCTGGGTGGGGAGGGTGGGGCTGGGTGGGGAGGCGACGGTGGGGAGGGGCTGGGTGGGGAGGGGCTGGGTGGGGGGTGGGAGGGGTGGGGCTGGGTGGGGAGGGGCTGGTCACCCCATGGTGCCCTTATAAAACTCAACGTTTAACCTACTCACGTCGGGTTGTGCCCGCCCTCACAGTCGGGCATATTTGCGGAATACACCACGCCGCCGTTGACTCTGCCCATTGACCGAGCAACCCAACGTTCCTACCAGCTCCCTCCGCAGGACAATGTGTTTTTTCAGAAACGACCTGGCCACAAATGATAGCTCATAAAATTGGCGTATCATAATTGCAACAAAATAATCAGAAGCATGTTGATTGTAAATATCACGATTATCGCGATATTTCCCTCCTACAATCGAGTGTTTTCCGTTTAACCAGGTGAGAGCGATGAGACCATGATGGTTCTACTTAGAAGAATTACGACGAGACGCTATGATAGTGGGGAAGGCAGGAGATAGAGAAAAAAAAAGTGCGATTATCGCGATAATCGTGCACCCTTTGTAGCACGCGATATATCGCGATATCGCGTGACGTCACCGCGCCACACCCCCCCCCCCAAAGTTGGCCGTGACGTCACGTCCGCGTCACGTGCGCAGGAAGTTCCGCTTCACTAACCTCCCACCCCCCCCGCCCCTCAGGCTCCTCCCCCTTTCCCCCCCCCTCCCCGCGGAGGAGGAGGACATCTTGCGAGCCCCCCCGCACCGCCACTCGCATCCTCCTCCTCCTCCCTCCTCCTCCTCCTCTCCTCGTCGCCTCCCGGGGCTCGCACCGCGGGGCCGCATGGAGGCGGAGAGCGAGCTGCTGTCGCTGCCGTCCGTCGCCATGGACGCGGTGCTCGCCTTCTGCAGCTACGACGAGATCAGCGGCCTGCGCCTGGTGGGAAGGGGGCGGGGCTGTGTGTGGGGGGGTGGGGGCGGGGCTGTGTTGGTGGGGGGGTATAATGGGGGGGGTATAATGGGGGGGGGGGGGTAAATGGGGGGAGTGGATGGGCTAAAGTGGGGGGGGGGGGGGGTGGCGATATAATTATGGGGCGGGGCTAAAGTTGCGGGGCGGGGCTTAGGCGAGACGAGAGGTGCGGTGCCCCCGAGTGAAGGGTTGCGAATGCGGGGAGGGGGCGGTGTCTGTTGTGTTGTGGGCGGAGCGAAGGGGGGGACTAAGCGGGAGCGTGGCTTACAAAGGGCGGGGTGAGGCTGAGGGGGGGTTAGGCTGAGGGGGGCGTGAGGCTGAGGGGGGGGGGTTAGGCTGAGGGGGGGGGTGAGGCTGAGGGGGGGTTAGGCTGAGGGGGGCGTGAGGCTGAGGGGGGGGGGTTAGGCTGAGGGGGGGGTGAGGCTGAGGGGGGGTTAGGCTGAGGGGGGCGTGAGGCTGAGGGGGGGGGTTAGGCTGAGGGGGGGTGAGGCTGAGGGGGGGGGTTAGGCTGAGGGGGGGGGTGAGGCTGAGGGGGGGTTAGGCTGAGGGGGGCGTGAGGCTGAGGGGGGGGGTTAGGCTGAGGGGGGGGTGAGGCTGAGGGGAGGGGGTTAGGCTGAGGGGGGCGTGAGGCTGAGGGGGGGGTTAGGCTGAGGGGGGGGTGAGGCTGAGGGGGGGGGTTAGGCTGAGGGGGGCGTGAGGCTGAGGGGGGGGGGTTAGGCTGAGGGGGGGGTGAGGCTGAGGGGGGGGGTTAGGCTGAGGGGGGCGTGAGGCTGAGGGGGGGGGGGTTAGGCTGAGGGGGGGGTGAGGCTGAGGGGGGGGTGAGGCTGAGGGGGGCGTGAGGCTGAGGGGGGGGGGTTAGGCTGAGGGGGGGGTGAGGCTGAGGGGGGGGGTTAAGCTGAGGGGGGGGGTTAGGCTGAGGGGGGGGGGGTTAAGCTGAGGGGGGGGTTAGGCTGAGGGGGGGGGGGGTGAGGCTGAGGGGGGGGGGGTGAGGCTGAGGGGGGGATGAGGCTGAGGGGGGGGGGTGAGGCTGAGGGGGGGGTGAGGCTGAGGGGGGGGGTGAGGCTGAGGGGGGGTGGTGAGGCTGAGGGGGGGGTGAGGCTGAGGGGGGGGGTTAGGCTGAGGGGGGGGGGGTGAGGCTGGGGGGGGTTATGCTGAGGGGGGGGGTTAGGCTGAGGGGGGGGGGGTTATGCTGAGGGGGGGGGGTGAGGCTGAGGGGTTATGCTGAGGGGGGGGGGTGAGGCTGGGGGGGGTTAGGCTGAGGGGGGGGGGTGAGGCTGGGGGGGGGTGTAGGCTGAGGTGGGGGGGTGAGGCTGAGGGGGGGGGTGAGGCTGAGGGGGGGGTGAGGCTGAGGGGGGGGGGGGTTAGGCTGAGGGGGGGGGGTTAGGCTGAGAGGGGGGGGGGTGAGGCTGAGGGGGGGGTGAGGCTGAGGGGGGGGGGGGGTAGGCTGAGGGGGGGTTAGGCTGAAGGGGGGTGAGGCTGAGGGGGGGGGTTAGGCTGAGGGGGGGGGTGAGGCTGACGGGGGGGTTAGGCTGAGGGGGGGGGGTTGAGGCTGAGGGGGGGGGGGGTTAGGCTGAGGGGGGGGGTGAGGCTGAGGGGGGGGGTTAGGCTGAGGGGGGGGGTTAGGCTGAAGGGGG